CACAACTTTGTATAAGTTTTAATTATAAACTGATATAACCAGGGTACATATAATAGAATTAATTGTCATGTCTTTTTTCAGGACCTCCGATCCATGTAGTTCGGCATGTTTGTTAGCGGTGTTCATGAAGGGCCAGTATAACAAAGTATATCACTGGATTGAGCTCTCTGTCTAAGTGTATTACTAAAGTGTTTTGCATTGAGCTCAGTTCATTGTTATGCAAATGCATTCTTTTCTGAAATTAAGATTTGTAAACAGACAACGCACATCTATATATGAACTGTAAGGTAAGATGATTGAAACTGTCAACACAAGGAATTACTGAAGCAGCATCCACGTAACATAAATAGTTAAAGGGAAATTATTTTCATTTGAACCAAACATTTTCATCCAGATAGCCAAATAAAAAAAAACACATTGAAATATACCAAGCATTGCTACCTGCAATATGATGCTAGGTGGTTTTGTAACACTTTTTTAACCATCTGTACTGACTACTTAAGAGTCCTGAGTGCAAATGGTCATTCATTTATACATGTGTTTATTTATGTAAAAGGACGAAACTCACAAGGCCTAGTCGATTTCTAAAATTATCTTTCATTGTTCAACTTTTATCACTCATTCGTTAATTTCTTAATTTGTGTTAATGTTAATTACAGTACTATTCATTTTTATACAACAAAATTGTATCTTACTGGTTTCACTTATATTTTTATCCACATAAAAAAAAACATTGAAACAAGAATAATTTTGCAGAACCTTTTTCATTTCAAATACTAAAGAATCATAGTTCATATTTTTTTAAATCGACACTATTTGTCATAATTTATTTCTAGAAATAAAGAATCATAAACAAATAAAGTGGATTTACCATCTTATTAAAATCAATTTTATATTGGTAAAATATTATTTTATATAACAGCAACCAGGCCTTGGAGAGTCAAGGAAGCAGACATTTTCAAAGAAAGAATTTAAATAACACAACAGAAGTGTACTTCCTATCTCATCAAGCCCCAATTGTCATGCCAGGTATTGTCATTACTTAGAACTGTTTAGACGTTAGACATCTTCTAAGAAACAATTTCGAACATTTAAAGAAATATTTCACTAATGATACTGTGATGATCCTTAACTAATTTACATTTTTTGTTAAAAGTTCAAGACCAAAGTAAGAAATGACCACCACAATGGAACATAGATAGAAGCATACAAGAAGTACATACATACAGGTTCTCAGAAACCATCTCACATATTAAAATCACATCATGCAGAAATGCTCCTAATGTGTTCCTCTACTAATTTTGAGTTTGTGCTGCTATTCAAAAGTAAAAGTTGTGGAACATATTTTAACAGAATCATTTGGTAATCCATAAAAATAGTGTTTTCTCCATGACAATCTTGAACATTAAAACCAAATATTGAATAAACGACACTGCTATTTTTTAGTGTTTGGTACTGGTCTGACATTCAGGATGGCTGTCACTGTGGAACACAGTTTAACATACATGTAGATACATAGGAAAAAAACCCATAGAAAACTCTTTTTGTCGGAAAACACTACTATCCACACTGATATGTGTCCACACTTGTTGTTATAAAAAAAACATGTTTGACCTTATTTTTATTTATACTTTCGTCTATGTACATTTTCTTTAACGCTGAATGCGTATTCCGTAAGAAGAATTAAGCCAATGGGACATAATCAACTAGGAGAGGAAAAGTCGTCCTGTTTGTCATAAATTTTGGTACAAGAATTACGTACTGTGAGAAAACCTTCTAAGATGGTCTAAAACAGGACAAAGACAACTTTCAACGTTGGATTTAATAAGAGTAAATTCTGGTGCAATATTCATGATACATATTTTGGTACAGCTTGAATACTTAAATAGTAAATGATGAACAATTTCATTATTCCTTTTTTATAATTTTGAAATGATAACGGAATAATGGACGTACTTAATAGAAGTGTTCTGGACATGTGGAGCCGGATCTGCTTACCCTTACGGAGCACCTGAGATCACCCCCGATTTTTTGGTGGGGTTCGTGTTGTTCAGTCTTTAGTTTCTATGCTGTGTTTTGTATACTGTTGTTTGTCTTTTGGTCTTTTCCGCTTTTTGCCTTGGTGTTATCATATTTATTTCGACTTATGAGTTTGAATGTCCGTTTGGTATATTTTGCCTCTCCTAGGTACAACACGCCATCGAAATGTCTGCATGTTTTGTTGAAACAGTTTATCAAATGGTGTTTAGTTTCGTCTTGCACTGAAAACATAAATTAGTCAATTTGACCAATTTAATTGGTCATTTTGACTGTCCTCTAGATGACAATGCACTTTAATCATTTTGACTATGCTCTTTGTCATTTGACTAGATGGGTAGTCACATTTGACTGAGTAGGGTGGTAATTATGACTATGTTTGGAAGTCAAAATGACCATATGTTATACTCGTTATGACGAATTGGATTGTTCAATTGACTATGCACATTTGTCAGTTTGACAATTGAATGCAGTCCATATGACTTATCGAAATAGTCGAAAGTGACCATGTTGTTTAGTCAACATGATTACTGTGAATAGTCACGACTGTTAGACTGTTATTTTAATTTGTGTTGTGTTTTTTGTTCCACCAATTTACTTTGTGTGTGTTTCTATCCGTTTTGTACTTTTATGTTTCATTCTTCTGTTATTCTACTTTTTGTTGTTTCTCTTCCATAGGATTGACAAATTCATCTGGAATATAATATCATTAAAAATACCACAACAGCAAAAATAACATCAAAACCGTATAGGACCACAAAGTGCTCAATGTTCCAAACCTTCCTATATCTTCATGACTTTCATGTGTTACCATTACTCAGTGACATCTATTAAAGTCTAAAAATCAAATAAAGAAAATATATTTATTATAAACTCATTGTTAATTTGAAGTGTTTATTTCAGATATTTTTTCGGTATCAACTATGTCAGTGTAATAATCTCTCTGGTCAAAAATCTCTCAGCTGTGTTCATACAAATAGCAATGTCTTCATTTGCTTAAAAATATAATTATATCATTTGAGAAGCTAAAATATAACAATAAATAGGTATATCAGTCATGTTAAAAGTTAAAAGAAAAAACAAATTTTAAAATCTTTGATCTAGTGATTTTGTCACTCATTTTATACCATTATTTTGTAATGTAAGTTCCGGGATCTTGACAGCCACCCATCTTATACCACAACATTGTAATGTAAGCACCAGGATCTTGACAGCCACCCATCTTATACCACAACATTGTAATGTAAGCACCGGGATCTTGACAGCCACCCATCTTATACCACAACATTGTGATATAAGCACCAGGATCTTGACAGCCACCCATCTTATAACACAACATTGTAATGTAAGCACCAGGATCTTGACAGCCACCCATCTTATAACACAACATTGCAATGTAAGCACCAGGATCTTGACAGCCACCCATCTTATACCACACCATTGCAATGTAAGCACCAGGATCTTGACAGCCACCCATGTTATATCACAGCATTGTAATGTAAGCACCAGGATCTTGGCAGCTACCCTGAGGGTTTTTTTTTAATTCATTGTTGTGAATATCGATTGCAGTGTTTATTTTGAACAGTTTTTGATCAGGTGAAAAATAGATATCGCTAAATACTCTTTTCAATCGAAAATACGTTGTATGTGTATCAAAATTGATATCCCGTATACATATCTCCCTCTGTTTTGTATTGTCATTAATTTACGTCAACATGTGCCGATATATTACATTCATTACACTTCTTTTTCTCAAATTTAATTTTTGTAAGTTAGAATTAAAACAAATGTACATGATACTTACTTTAAACAATTGGTTTAATTGACAAAATAGCAGTTTCGTGCCTCCTGGTTTGTTTACATCTACACGATCTAGGGAACAAAGGGAACGCGAAAGAGTGCGCGTGAAAACCGATACTCTACACCACGTGGTGCTGTGACCACCTAACATAGTCATTTGACCATGCAGGTAGTCATAATGACTTGATGGGTAGTCATATATGCTGTTGACTACCTTTCGGCTAATATTTGACTAACTGAATAGTCATAGTGACTAATTTAAATTTTCAGTGTGATGAATTCGAGAAGACGGCGACGGACAGTATTGTTTGCAGAAGTGCATCGAGTGTAGTTTTTCAGCAATCATATGACATAATTGTATATATAAAAATAAGAAGATGTGGTATAATTGTCAATGAGACAACTATCCACCAGAGACCAAATGACGTAGAAGTTAGTTACTACAATGTATAGGTCACCGTACGGTATTCAACAATGATCAAACCCCATAACGCATAGCAAGCTGTAAAAGGCCCCGAAATGACAAATGTAAAACAATTCAAACGAGAAAACTAACGGCCTTATGTATGTACAAAACAATAAACGGAAAACAAATACGATATACAGCAACAAATGACAAACACTGAATTACAGGCTCCTGACTTGAGACAGCCACATATAGAATGTGGCGGGGTTAAACATGTTTGAGGGCGCCCATCCATCCCTAACCTGGGACAATGGTGTAACAGCACAACATAAGAACAAACTATAAAAATCAGTTGAAAAGGGCTTAACTTATCAGATAAAAACAAAGCACAAAACAACTTACAAAAACACTAATGACACAAAGTACGGATCAGAGTACTCCTAGTTACTGAAAGCTAGTTCAAAGCCAATAACAACTAATAAAAAATCATGTATCCAAGAACAAAATTAATATCAATCAGTACACATCCAACGTACAATGGATTTAGTGTGAAGACGCCATTAACAGTCAGAGAAAAACATGATCTTGTGCAATGCCAAAATATAGGTATCGACAGAAATAAACAAAATAAGCATGAAATAAAACTGAAGAATATTTTTTGTTGAATAAAATGACCAGAAAACATAGCATAATTGTCTCCATGAATTCCACCGTAGCTCCTGGTATTGCGGAGATAAATTCTGTATTCTTTACTCACTTGTAATATGGCCTGAAGTGAACCTGCTGTACCATGAGCCTTTGCTGAATGACCTTTTACTACGAAATCGTTATTTTTCATTAAATTTAACTCGAGCCAGTTGTCACCATTCGAGATGAAATTAGCAGCAAATTCATACAATCCTGATTTACCAACTGTAAAGACTCCAGAGCCTGCGTCATATCCTTTTCCTATATTTGTCACTACACGATCAAGTTTCAGTACAGAATTTGTACCTAGTGAAACGGATTTAGTCAAAGTTGCAAAGAAAGCTGGTTGCACACTCGGCTGACTGACTGTAAAAGATAAGGCGTTTATGTATTAATATATGTATACAGTCGCAGATTTATATATTCAACAATTTATTATTATATCTCTTGAGAGAAGAAGATTTTGCAGGTCACTCTTTAGAACTAAAGCAACTAATTCAAACTTTATTTTACCAAACGCTATTTCCTTTTTGATGTAAGTTTTTTTTATAACTATTCTCTTATATAAATTGTGCATAATAATAATAAAAATTAGCAGAAAAATACCTCTGGTTACAAATAAATATTTGCTCTGAGACCAATGAAATTAACTGCATTTTATTATTTACAAAGACTCTGATCTGTCACGTAAAGCAACACCAACAAATCAATCAATCATTTACGAAAAAGGAGATATAATGAGAATAAACATGGAATAAATAAGCATCTGCTTTTTTCACAGTTATCATGAACAGGCGTTTTCACCGTCGGAAAAAAAGTTTGATTAAAGTCAAACGGGGGCAAAGGAAAATCAACACTCAATGGTAAAAAGTGCTACAACGACTTCCCTGTCTGATTTTATTCGAACATTCGATTATAACAGGATTGGCCTACACTAATTTTGATTGCACTTATTATTATGACAAACGATAAGTAAATAAAAGAAAGTAAAACTAACCTGATTGCTGACACTTGACTTTCACCATGACATTGATTAAGTCTTCAAACACGTCATTTCCCGCAAAATACAGAAATAATATGAATGTTTTTTTTCTCTTATTACCTATAATCCATCATTGTGATATCAAGTCCACGTATCAAGTAGAATTTGCTGGACTTACCAATACTTGGAGGACAGGAACCTTGAACACCATATGTCGCCAGAATAGATACAAACAAGAGAACTACTATGATGGATGTCATATTGTTTCGGCTTTCTTTCTTTGCTGTTTTGCTTGAACTTTTATAAACTGGTGCTGTTTTACACGATACCAATAATTATGTTTCCAATAATGTCTAAATCGCGTGACTACTACAGGTGTTTATGCCGACAGTTATATACAATATATCGTACTCATAAACCAAAAAGCTTTTCAATGTAAAAATATTGGTGAATACACAGCCACGGGGACGTTAAATCCGATGCCTCGTGTAGAGAGTGTGTCACGCTCTCTGCACGTTAAGAACTCTTGCAACAACTCTTTCAGGGGACCGTAGGTGGCCTGTTGCAAGGCTAAATTGCTGTCCCTTTCCAATATATCCTCATTTTTCAGTGGTATTTCAAATTTCCCGCCTATCATAAAATATCATAAACGGTCGATTGAAAACATGTTTCGTTGAAAAACAAAGCATGAACTCGAAATTAATTACGATGAAATAAGACCTCTATACATAACATAAACAAACAAATATTTTATTATCCAATCACGGCGCCCATGATATGAACGAGTGGGATAATTAAGTCATTTGTACCATAAGTTTGAAGGTTTTCTGTTAAAAGGAAGACAACTCGGTTTTGTAAAATGTCCAGTCAATAATATTTGCAAATGCATGTAAACGTTTATGTACGTTTGTCACAAAAGTTTATTAGCCTTTACCAAGTCAGTGGTAGTATTTTGTTATATCTAAATGTTTTTTTTTTGTCCTGTAGGGAATACCAGTAAGATTAAAAGTCATGTCTTTATTAATCTCTGTTAAACTTATTCTAAACCTTTCAAAATTTGGGTCGATTTAGTGTTTAACATTGTTAAGACACTTTGTTTTGTTGCAAACGTTATGTTGAACTCTAGATGTTGGCTCACTACAACTTAAGTCCGATATTCATATTTTTGATTGACCTAGCCTTTATTGTCATAATCATGTGGTTTAATTATTCTTTTATATATAAATATATATATAGTCTCTGTTCTTTCTTTCACATAAACTTAAAAAAAAACAGTGTCGAAATGATTTGGAAGGAAAACCAAAATAAAGCAATAAACTTAACATTGCATTTTTGGGCTTGTTATTATTAAAAAAAAAGAATGATACTTTCCTTGTTGTTGTTTGTAAATAACCCTGGATGTCTATCAAAAATATTCTTTTTAGTATCTGTTTGTGGTTCCTTTAATATGATCTTGTTTTTAGTTTAAACTGTATTTTTATATTTATGAGTTGTGTTTCGTATATACTTTCACATTTTGTCTAGAGAAATTAGAATTAACATGCCTGCATCAGCGACGTAGTCGGTTTGCTTACATTTTACAAGTTCACAACGTAAAATATGCTGGAATTTCAGAAACAAGAATGGGAAATAGAGTAACCCCCCTCCCCCCCCCCCCCCCCCCCCAAAAAAAAAAATTAAATGTTCACGCAACTGCATTGTTTACAACATGTAAACCGCCTTTTTGTGCAGCAAAATACACTTTAAATAGTTTCAAAACTCTGCACAGTCTAACTCTACCTGTATTTGAAATTTGTAGACATCTTGTGGTTAGTCACGTTAGAATATTGAATCTTCTTCGTTTTAAGCATTCTGCATTAAGTTTCATCAGGAACTCTCTGAACCACGAAATTGAAAACGTTTCCACTTGTAATGGAATTAAATAACATACTGCACATGCATTCGTCTCCATGTTAACACAAATGCAGTTATTGATATTACCCTAGGAGGCAATAAATATCAAACAATATAAACAAAGATATTTTTATATAACTTGAAGTGTTCCGCAATTTATAGATTTATTAGTTCAGAAATAGATATGGTTAAATTTCTTATTTACTGCAGATAACAGAATGTTTGGCACAGGTAAGGAACCGATTATGCAGAATAAAGTCAATCAATGATATAATTTATTTTCAAAATTCGTTTTTGATAAAATGTCCTGTAGGGAATACCAGTAAGATTAAAAGTCATGTCTTTATTAATCTCTGTTAAACTTATTCTAAACCTTAAGACACTTTGTTTTGTTGCAAACGTTATGTTGAACTCTAGATGTTGGCTCACTACAACTTAAGTCCGATCATATTTTTGAACATATTGAACCTTCTCTAGAACTCGCTTTTTTGCCCAAAATTTTCTTTTTTATGCGTTAACTTTATCTAAATATATTTAGTTTCAACAATATTTATTCAGATAAATTATCACATAACAATATAATATACTTGAAATAAATATCTAGGATTCAGAAACAAGCAAAGTTGCTTTTACAAATCTGTCTCCTAGTATACAAATAATGCACTTATTGATCAAAACATAAGTATAAATGTTGGCATGCTCTGCAATAAATATATACATTTGAAAAAGGTGAAAAATGTAAAAGAAAAAAAAGAATAAAAATGAAATTTTGCAATGTTTACAGTGTGAAATGCTTGGGGTTCATTTTGGATGATGAAGCAGTAACATCAAGGGCTAAAACGTTTACTTTTGATAATGTATTTCTGCACCAAACTAAATAAAAGGCTATTCTGCTCGTCTAAGAGTACTGTTGAGCCAAAAAGTTGGTGTCAACTTGGACAGGAAGGACTGAAACGGAAGAAAAAAGTTCATGTCTTAAATCGGTGTATATTGGACAAGATAACAGGAAGTGAGAATTTGTTTCTAAATCACCACAAAGACAGTTTGGGGAGTCTACTAAATTACGAAGGAATAGGTGATAATTTAATGAACTCGAGTCCATTCTTAAGCGAGCATGAAGAATTTGTCTAAATAAATATATTTGAGAGAAGGTCCAAATTCCACGTTAGTTTACGAAGGTCGCAATAAATATATTTTACTGGTTCTTTAACGCAATGTGCACTTTTGTCGATGTTTGGCTTCCGTCGTTGTCCGTCGTCCGTTTTTTTTTTTTAATCTCATCTGAAACTAAACTGGGTCAGTACTTAACCTGGTCAGAATTGAAGGCTATCTATTGTATATTATATGAATTTATTTTATTTTAAATTATGTCCGTGATGACACTTACAAGTTACCATGTATATATAACTTCATATTCAGTGTATATAAAGTGCGAATCCAGTTAGTTCATTTTCACTGTTGTATGCGAGTATGTCTATTGTAGAATAAAGGATAATGGGAAAAACTGCGTTTGTTTACTTTTTGAAAATACAAAATAATAGATTTGAATGTATGTTTTAACAGAATTTCATTAGAATATAACTTTTTAATGTATAATAACAGGATTAAAGTCCAAAAAAAGTGTTATTTAAGCAGCAGAATCCATAATATTGATTACTGAATGCGATTCATTTTAACTGTAGATGCGATGAATTATCACTGTAAGTGCAATCATTTCTGATGTAGAATTTTTGGAAGTGCGATGAATTTTCATTGTCGTTTTATAAGATTATTCGACATACAACAACTGAAAATAGTTTTTAAATGACTTTAATATTGACGATATTTACAATTTGAAATGCAAGCTAATCGTAGATGCTTACTTGAATATCAACGGGTATAACCACGTTCATATCATGAATATTCAAATATTGTTGGTGAGTTTGCTATTAGCTTGTCATGGATCCGAAAATTTACTGAAGCAGTGAATATAACGTTTTTCTACGAAGAATATTCTTTGAAAAGTTTTATAACTCGCTTAAAAAAGCTTTGAACATTTGTCACGCCGTGTCATACATATTTCTATCGTATTGATAGGCTTTTGCACAACGAACAGAACAAGAATATACAACGAACGGTACTAAAGAAAGAAAACAAACTACAAAGAGAATGAATCGTACAGTGTCAAAATTCTGAGGTCAGTTTTTCAAGTAAATGTCTTCAAATTCAATTAAAACAACGGGTTTCTCATTCGTATTATGTACATGTATTTTAACAACAACAAAGCACAAAATACACGGTCGCATTTAGTGAAAGAGCCAACCAACTATGCTCTATTTGTAGTTTAATCAAGTTTGAGTTACACATAGTGTTTGTTTCGCGATGTTTACAAGTAATTTATAGACCTTTCTATTTAAAATAGTCACATGGTGTTCATGTAATATAAATGATATACAATGCTGCCAGGAGCAGTAAACTTTGTTTTCATAAACATTGAATACTTAACTGAACAGATAGTCAATTAGTTTTTGGTGTAAATACAAGAACGGTATATCTACCAACATTGCTTCGCGATGTAGCGATTAACGTCCGGAATCAACTGTATGGCGGTTAAACCCCGTGGTATAGAACCATTTAAACATGTAACAATAAACTGTTTTCAATATTTCTTTGTATTCTCACAATTGCGTATTGGCTTATTTGTAACACCGACTTATAAGAAATTCAAGCATATTTAAGGTGACTCGACTGTTGCTCGAACTTTCTTTACTGTATAAGATTTATACACAATGGCATGATAAATATCAATTATCCAGTCATCCAAGAGTCAATTGTTTGTGCAAGATGAAAACGTTTCCACTCAATCAATCGTGAAATGAAGATCGTTTTGTGAATCCTCTTTGTTATCTCAAATGCATCCATTAGAGCTATTTTCCTAACACTTGTAGTTTAAAGGTTTGGTTGGCTTGCTTGCTTTGTTTGTATAAACGTTTGCTCAATCTTAATTACAATGCTTAGGTCACATTTACACATTAAAGGCCAACCACACCTTTTAATTAGCAGGAATTAGGAAATTAGCTCTTATGAATTTAATATATTAGTATGCGATGTAGATTTAGACCGAAACAGAAACTTTGCTTTTCCGGTGACGTGGATTGGCTTAACTGTCCAAGATATATGTATTTAATGATGACGTGTCATAGG